GTGTGGGTGTGCGTGCTTGTGTGTGCATACCCGTGTGGGTGTGCGTGCTTGTGTGTGCATACCCGTGTGGGTGTGCATACACGTGTGGGTGTGCATGCTTGTGTGTGCATACCCGTGTGGGTGTGCATGCTTGTGTGTGCATACACGTGTGGGTGTGCATGCTTGTGTGTGCATACATGTGTGGGTGTGCATGCTTGTGTGTGCATACCCGTGTGTGTGGAGGCTAGTATTGACCTCTTGGTAACTTTTTAAATCACTTTTCCACTTTTTTTTGGAAACAGGGCCTCTGAAGCTCACTGATCGACTGAACTAGCTGTCCAGCAAGCTGCAGGATTCCTCCTGTCTCCTGTCTTTCCAGCTCTGTGTAGTTAGGGGTGTGCGCTACTACACCCAGCTCCTTACAAGAATGCTGGGGACCCAGACTCAGGTTCTCAGGCTTGTGCGGCAAGCACTTTACTGACTGAGCCATCTCCCAAGGTCAACCTTTGGTCCTAAAGCAATGGTTCTCAACACGTGGGTTGTGACCCCTTTGTGTGGAGGGATCACATATCAGAATGCCAGACATTTACATTATGATTCATAACTGTAGCAAAATTACAGTTATGAAGTAGCAATGAGAATAATTTTCTGTTCTCTGATTGGGAAAACAGGTAAGAGTCTCCCCTAGCCTCCTGGTCCTGCCTTGCCAATAGAGGCTCAATCCCAGTGCCAGACTGCTGGGCTCAGTCCTTAGCGTGTTGTCTCATCCTCTAGGGCAGTGCTTCTCAACCTTTTTGTTTTGTTTTGTTTTTGTTTTTGTTTTGGTATTTTTTTCAAGACAGGGTTTTTCTGTATATGTAACATCTCTGGCTGTCTGGAACTTACTATGTAGACCAGGCTGGTCTCGAATTCACAGAAATCCACCCACCTCCGCCTCTGGGATTAAAGGTGTGTGACACAACCACCTGGCCAGTTTTTCACCTTCTTAGGGCTGTGACCCTTTAATACAGTTCCTCATGTTGTGACTGCCCCAGCCATAAAACTATTTCTTCACTACGTCATAACCGTAACTTTGCTACTGTTATGAATCATAATATAAATATATCTGATGTGTGATCCCCAAAGGGTTTGCCACCCACAGATTGAGAACCACTGCCTTGATGTCTCTGAAGGGAAACAGGTCTTTCACAGTGGCCCAGGGGGTCATCAGGGGAGGGGTACACCCCCAATATCCTGCACATCTCTTTCCTACCGTTGTTTAAACTTGGACTTGAGGACTCTTCTTCCCAGAAGTCCTTGGCCACCTCCTCTTGCTTGTTTGTTGCCTGCGTTGGGCAGACATCTGCTGACTGCAACCCTGGCTCAAGAATGCCAGAGAGCTTTGGATCCTTCTGTAATTAAAATGTCCCACTGGCCTGGGAGATGGCACTGTGCTATCCACTGCTCCCGCAGCTGGGTCTGCTCCAGTCAGGATGGCTCCTTGGGCTGTCATCCCAGGCAGAAACAAGTGGGAATGCTTGCCATGGTACATAGGGTGGCCATGTGGCAGTCTCTCCTTTGCTGGCCCTAACATGTCGGTGTGACCTTGGGTCCATCTCAGCCTGGGACACACAGGATGTGCTTGTCATGGGCAGAGGCTGTGAGACTATAGGGGTTCCCTCCATATCTGATAGAATCTTGCAGGTTAGGGCTAAAGCTGAGGGCATGCCCTCTGGCCATGAGGGCCTATTGGCCAGCCTTACAAAAGAAGGGGGGGTCCCTTCTGACCCAGTTCATCCCACTATGGTGTCTAGAGCTTGTAAAACAATCAGTACAAAGGACATCTGCACTCTTGGTCAGTCCCGTGTCACAGAGCTGTCCCTCTGTTTCCTAGGCATCCCTGTGTGGAGGGACCTGGATGGACCCTGGGGGCACAGGCAGAGTGTCCATGAAATTGGCACTTCTGGGGAAAAGAATCCTGCAGCTGGGATGTGGGAACTTTCCCAAGTGCCCAGACTCAGTGTTCCCATTGCTAGTGCAACTTGGAAAGAGAGCCAAGATCAGAGAGGACCCCCGACTCAGTACAATTCTGTATCCCCCCACCATTGTGTCCACACATCCCATTTTGTTTGTCTGTGCCCACTGTGACTTTGCCTGTGTGTTCCCCCACGTAGCCCTAGCTTTGAGTATAGTTGTGACTGCCTTGTCAGTCCCGTGGAGGTTTTTGGAATAACTGGTGTTCCTCCCCTGCTGGGGGTGGGTGTTGGGAGAGGCTACACACTGACACCTCCACAGCATAATTGCCTCTTACCCTGGATTGAGTAGCTGATGGAGACAGAGGCTCAACCAAGATCTGCTTTGGAGACTCTCCTGACCTTGGGAAGTCTACACTGAGACCTGGCCTTCCTCATTTGCCTGGGGATCCAATGGGTGTATCCCACCTGCTGTGCCCCAGCACTTGACTCTTGAAGCTGAAGATCATGTGATCCCTGAGCAGAAGCTATGCTTCATCCTTAGCAGTCCCTGGGTCCACATGTCAGGGATGAGCCTAAGGAGAAGCCATGGTCATGCTCTGGGTGGGCCTGAGTCACGGAGGAGACAGATGGAGGGCCACCTTGGTCCCCAAAGGCTCTTGGTCTCCAGCTCTTGAGGGATAACTCCATGTGCTTGGTCTGGTTCTGAATTCTCAGGGCTTCTGACCCACACATGTATGAAATGTCTATTGTCCATTCTGGATAAATGCCAGGATCCACTATCAGAAGATGGTCAGGCCAGCATGGAGTGAGAAGCCAGATGCTATGGGGAGAGCACCAGGGAAGGTGCTAGAAATGTACAGCCTGGGCAGAAGCAGAAGCCTAGGGTGGAACCAAGCTTGTGTTAAGCAAAGAGACCCTGAGGTTCTTGAGACTGGAAATGGGGGAGAAGACAATGGCGAGGGAAGAGGCTGCTGGTTGTAGATCCTATGTTGGCTAAGGGTGTGGATTTCTTTCAGAGAGAACCCATTACGTGGGTGCCTCTGGGGGAAGTCCCGGTGGGGGTGGGGGAGAGCTCAGGCCAGAGCAGTAGGGAACTAGGTGGTTCTCACATTCTGCAGTCAATGTCGCCCTCTCTTGGTCACATTGGACAATGACTTAGACTAGGGTTTATTAGGCCGGAGCTGGATATCAGTTTCCTATCCAGCTAGCGCTCTGGAGACAGCTGCCCAGAAAGAAATTCTTGAGCAGATCAGGACATTCAACTCCAGATACATCCAGTGGGTGAAACCCCTTCAGAACACTGGCCCCCATCCACAGGAGGCCCTGGGTGTGAGTTTAGCTATGGGATGCAGGAGGAAGAGGAGGCCCTTAAACAGTGGCCTTAGGAACAGATGGGGTCAGTCTCTCTGTGGATGCATTCATGGATTCAGCTCCCAAAGTGAGTCCTGGAGGCTAAGGTAGAGTGGGCGTTTGGTCCCCTGGATGTGCATGAGTAGTTCGGACTACATGAAAAATGGGACCAAGTTGTGGGCTCGTGGGGTGACTTGGGTTTCGGGAGTGTTGGAGTAAAGAACAGGAAGAGGAGCCGCTTCAGGACTGAGGAATCTGTCCATGTTTTCGTTGCCCCTCATACCCTCCTCCCCACCCCAGCTCAGCTTATTCACCCTAAAGGGTAGGCAGAGTCTCCTCCACCCTGATCCAGCAGAGAAAAGCCAACTCAGGACCAGGCCATGGAGGGCAGCCCCAGGAAAGAACTGAGGAGCCAGGGAAGAGGACAGGATGCCAGGGGTCTGGGACCCTTCACTACTCCACGCCGGGGTCCAGGACTGGCCCCAGTGTCCTCTAGTGAATGTAAATCCCGAGTTTCTACTGCTTGGGTCACAGCAGGGTGAACAGGGGTGAGTTGGGGGCCTGCCTGGCTCCTTCATATGTGTATGTATGTAAGTGTATGTATGTAAGTACATGTGTGTGAGTACTCGTGTGCATATGGAGTCCAGAGGACAACCTTAGGTGATGTTTCTCAGGCATCATGCACCTTGGTTTGTTGTTTATTTTTTTGTTCTGTTATTGTTGTTGTTTTGGATTTTTTTTGCTTTGTTTGAGACAGGATCTCACTATGTTGCCCTGGCCAGGCTGGAACTCACTATGTAGACTGGCCTCAAATTCACAGAGATCCACCTGCCTCTGCCTCCTGAGTGCTGGGATGAAAAGTATTTGTCATGAGCTGAAGGGATATTCAGAGATTAAGACCCCTGGCAGCTCTTCCAGAGGTCCTGAGTTGATGCTCAGCAACCTCATGGTGGCTATTGTGAGATCTGGCGCCCTCTTCTGGCCTTCAGGCATACATGCAGGCAAAACGCTGTATACATAATAAATAAATCCTTTTCAAAAAAGTGTTTACCATGATGGCTGGTCAGTCTTATTTTTTGAGACAAGGTCTTTCACTGGCCCAGAACTCATCAAATATAGTTGAGCCAGCTGGCCAGTGAACTCCGTAGATTAACCTGTCTCTGCCTTCCCCATGCTGGGATTACAAACATGTGCCACAACACCCAATTCCGTCTGTGTTCTGGGAATCAAATTCAAGTTCCTGTAAGGCAAATACTTTTATCTATTTAAGCTATCTCTTCAGCCTTTGCCCCTTTAAGAAGACAGTTCTGCCCCTCCCCTTGAGTGACCCTGTTGCCCAGCAACAGGAGGCAGTTGGTGTATACAATGTTCCTGAGGCAACCAGAAGCGTTGTTTGGGACAGAGTGACCAGTACTGCCCCGCTGATCGTGCCTGGATGACCGCCCAGTGACCCTCCCTTCACTCTACCCGCCTTCCTGCTCAGCCAGGCAGTGGGCACCATGGCACAAACGGACGTGCTCCTGACTAAGGAGCCAGCCCCACAGTCAATCCAGGCCTGTGAGCTGCCGCACAAAGAGTATGATGTGGCCTGCAATACTGGTGCCTACACATCCTCGGGTCTGGCCACCGCTGGCTTCCGCACAGCCAAATACCTAATGGACGAGTGGTTTCAGAACTGTTACGCCCGCTACCACCAGGCCTTTGCAGACCGGGACCACTCTGAGCGGCAGCGGCATGAGAGCCGGCAGCTGGCAGCCGAGACTGAGGCGCTGGCTCAGCGCACGCAGCAGGACTCCACGCGAAAGGTTGGAGAACGCCTGGAGGACATGCATTGCTGGAAGTCAGAGCTGCAGCGAGAGATAGACGAGCTGTCTGCCGAGACTGACCTGTTGCGGGCCCAGAAACGGCGGCTAGAGCGCGCCCTGGACGCCACTGCTGTGCCCTTCTCCATTGCCACCGACAACCTACAGTGCCGAGAACGCCGCCAGCATCCAGACCTTGTGCGGGACTACGTGGAAGTGGAGCTGCTGAAGGTGCAGCTGGTGGCTTAGGCCTAGAGTGGGAGACAGGCTCCGGCTCTCATATAGAGTCACAGGGCCTCAGGGTTCACACAGTGCTATGCCCCTCCGCCCATGCAGGATCCCCTGGTCCTTCAGACACAGGAGGATTTTTACCACATGGAGTCCCTGACTTCCAAATAACTTTCTTTCTTTTGGGATCCTCTTCAGTCCCCAAGATTTCAAAGACAGTAACTCTGACCCTGAGTGTTTTTTGTGTATTTATTGTTTTTTAATCCTTAGGCTCCCCCTGTACCAGCATGCACCTTATCGTGGTATTTGCTCTCAAGGTAGAAAGTCGGGGCAGTCAGTGCTGCAAGTGTAGAGGGGGTGGAGGGATATGGAGGGCCACAGCATCTGCTCTTTCTGCCCAGAGTCTCCGAGCCTCAGCTTCAAAGATCCCATATACACTTAGAATGCCAGCATCGGGGAGACTGAGGAAGGAGGTCACAAGTTCCAGTCTGGACTACATTCAAAGACTCTGCAACAAAACAAAACAAAACAAAATAAAACAAAACATTCCACCCTTTCTTCCATTAGACACCCTTCCCCCCAAACCCAGCATAACTTGCTTTGGGAAAACTTGTACTAAGATTAGGGGGGCCACTCAGCCTGGATGCTGCACAACTCCGAACCCCTCAGAGCTGGAGCCTCCTGTGGCGGTCTTAGGCCTGTGGGTGATGGTGAAAGATGGGGAAATAAACAGCCATGCTGGGACCCCAGGGAACCCCTGTTACACCCCAAGCCTTGACCACCGCTGCATATCTGAAGTATTGTCAGTGTGCAGAGGTGGGCGGCTTACTGAGAACACAGGGCAGCGGAGAGCATGGCCCCTGTGGACTTGCACTTGAAGGAGTTCCTGAGACCCAGAAAATGTTGGGGTTAAAGGAAACCTAGAGGTTCCTTCCTGTCCTTGGGCAGTAGGCAGCAGACAGAGGGCATCTGCTTCCTATGGGCTTGGGGTCCTCAGGGGTAGGTGGTCTAGGTCCTGGGATAAGGCTGATGCCCCTCAGTATACTGTCAGAGTGTTGAAGGTGACCCCAGAGCCTGGACAACTGTCACGGGTTATCCAACAGCCAAAAGACACCCCCTAGAGCAAACATTCATGTACATGTCTAACCTCCTCCCCCCGATAAACCTAGCATGGAAGGGCTGGGATCATACCTCCTTTTCTGGGAGGGGTGGGGAGAGGACTAAGGCAAAAGTCAATGGAGGTGAGGCCCACGCCTTGGCTCCTGCTGGGCCCCTCAGTCCCTCCCCCCTCCCTCCCCAAGAGGAAGGGCAGGGCTCTGCTACTCTGAAGGACTGTCTCCTCTCCAGGAAACTGAGCTCATCAAGAACATCCAGGAGCTCCTGAAGAGGACCATCTCACAAGCCGTGGGCCAGATACGGTGGGTCACAGCAGGCCCAACACGACAACCCTGACCCCCACCCCAAGGTTGGTCAGAGGTGGGGGGCAGGACAGCTAGGGCAGTGACTGGCTCAAAGAGGTCAGAAGGCTTTTGGATCATAGTCAGGGATGCAGACACTGCTCAGCTGGGCATATACAACTATCTCCACTTCTGTTCGGGAACCTGGGCCCTGCTGGCCATGGAAGGAAGCCTGAACTGGAACTGGAGTCCCCGGAAGCTGGAATGGGGCCTTCTTCCCGGGGTTCCCTGGCACATCATGGGTCCTGCATCCCCTCCTTCCCGCTAGGCTGAACTGGGAACACAAGGAGACCTGTGAGATGGATTGGTCAGACAAAGTGGAGGCCTACAACATTGACGAGGCCTGCTCCCACTACAACAATGAGAGCACCCAGGTGCAGTTCTACCCGCATTCCGGCAAGTTCGAGGAGAGGTAGGTTCCTAGGCATTCCCGTTTGCCCCGTCACCTTCTTGACTCTACTTCCAAAATCTGAGAAAGGACTCTTGCCCCCGCGGACCTGGACCAGTTCTCTGGGGGAATCTCTGTCTGCAGCTGGTGTGAGAAAAAAGAGAAACCCCTTACCCAGGCGCCTGGCTCCCACAGTTCACACTGGGTTGGTGCCTGCTCCAACCCCTGGATCCCCGTGGGTGGCCTGGACTGCGTTTCTGCTCGCGGCCAGCAGAGGGCAAGCAACCGCCACTAGAGGCCCGGGAGAACCTAGGGTTGTCTGTGTGATAAAGGGGATTGCAGTGCTGGAGTCTGCGTGCCTACAACCCGACCAGGTCGCACCTCCACTTTCAGTGCCTCCACTCCCGAGACGTGGGCCAAGTTTACTCAGGATAATCTGCTTCGAGCCGAACGCGAGCGGCTAGCTTCGGTTAACCTGCGGAAGTTAATTGACTGCATCCTGCGGGATACGGCCGAGGACCTGCGGCTGCAGTGCGATGCAGTGAACATGGCTTTCTCACGCCGCTGCGAAGAGCTGGACGACGCCCGCCACAAACTGCAGTACCATCTGCAAAAGGTGGGACGGCAGGGCACGCCCACCGTTGGACACGCCCACCTGTCTGACCGCACCCAGGACACGCCTGCCAGCACGTCCATCCCATGCTTAGGGCATACCCACTCACATTTGAGCTAATCCCACTTCCCCCCGGTAATGCACACCTGCCCCCCTCGAACCACGCCCTTTCTTCACCAATTCCCTTAACCACAGGGACCACCGTTGCTGAGACCAGGGTTGCTATCTCAGTTATGACCTGGCTTCAAGGTCCCCTCTGTTTCCCACCCAAAAGCAGAGATCCATACACCTCTGTTGTAGGCTTCTTGAGCTGACATAAAAGCAGATTTATATTTGGGAGTGGTCTGATGGTACAACCACTCCGGGAGGCTGACCCGTAGGAGCTGCCAGCTATGGGGTTTGGGAGGGGCATGGTATGCCCATGAGGTCCTGCTCTAGCCTCTCATTGTGGCCTATCCTAACTCCAAGCCCCGACTTTCTTGACCCGGGTTGGAGGACAAACAGACTGGCCTGACTCATAGGACCCTCTGAAGGTTTTCTACAGGGCTGCTCGCAGGGTCTCCAGTCAGGGCTGGAGATGAAGGAGCGAGTAGGCTGGCCCTCCTCAGGTGCTGGGTTGGGATAGGCAGGTGCCCTGATTGCTCTAGACTTGAGCTGGCCCCAGGCTCACACACTGCCCTGTGCAGACGCTGAGGGAGATCGCTGACCAGGAGCACCAGGTGGCAGCCCTGAAGCAGGCCATCAAAGACAAGGAGGCTCCTCTGCGTGTGGCCCAGACCCGCCTGTACCAGCGGTCACTCCGGCCCAACGTGGAGTTGTGCCGGGACGCTGCACAGTTCAGGTAGTACTGGAGCAATCCTGGGCAGTTCGGATCATCCTTGAACCCCTTTAGTCTTCCTAAGACCTCTCCCACAGGACCACTCCCATATATGAGCAGACATGAGACTGGGGTGGGGGGGAGTGGACCTTGGAGAGGGTTGCGTGTCAGGAACAACGCAAGGTCCTGTGCCACTCTGGGATGCCTAACCCTCCTGGAAGGACCCTAGAGTCTGGCAACCCAGATTCCTGGGGCCAAAGGGCAGAGAGGCGAGGCAGGGCCACCACCCACCCTTGTACCTCTGATGGAGTTCTGTGTTCCATGTACCTCCTACAGGCATGGTGGGTTATGCCTTTTAATTTCCTCATCTAGCCAGTGCCAGGATGCCCTCTTAAGCATAAGTGTCTGTCTTCTTCCTTCTTCATTGACTGTAATTTTATTCTAGAAATCAAGGTTTCAAGGGTGGTTCCTGCCTGTAAACATCATTAGCGCCTGTTCAGGCTGTTGTTGCTTATTTTCCCACTCCTTGCTTATTTTCGCCACAAGGTGGCAGTATTTCAAGACTCCCTCTAACTGCTGCGCAGCTAGGGAGGCCCCTGGGACCAGAAATAAGGGCCAGTCTTGATTTCATGCCAGGTTTACAGTGATCTCGCAACACTGTAGCCACTTTGGTGGGGTTCCTGTAAGCCTTTTGGGGACCTCTGTAGTAGCATCATTACCCCTTCCCTCGTCTCTCCAGTAACTCACCATTCCCTCCCCTGAAGGTTGCTGAGTGAGGTGGAGGAGCTAACCATGTCCCTCAACTCGCTGAAGGAGAAGCTTCAGGACGCCGAGCAGGCTCTGCGGAACCTGGAGGACACACGCATGAGCCTGGAGAAGGACATTGCCGTCAAGACCAACAGCCTCTTCATCGACCGCCAAAAGTGTATGGCCCACCGCAACCGCTACCCCAGTGTCCTCCAGCTGGCCGGCTACCAGTGACTGGGGCTGGCACCTGGCCACATGATCTCATCCAAATAAAGAGCACCTTAGTTTCCCACCTACAGCGTGGTGTAGCATGAAGAGACAGGCGGCTGTCCATTTGGACGGGCATTTCAGAACTTCTGTACAGACAGGCTTTGTCCATGAGCCCATCCTCCCCCTTACCTCAGGGGAAACCGTCTATCCAGGTGAGGTTAGGGATTCCCCCTCATTCCCATTTAGAGCCCCATCAAACCTGGTTTCTCCTGTCTTCACCAGTTTGAGGGTCTTGAGTATCTGTTGGGGACATCGTATGGCTTCCTTTCCCTTTAACCCCAGGCCTGAGGCTCGGCTTGTATCCCTTTGATTAGGCCATTTGCCCCACATGCTGTCCCTCCTGATGTTAGCCCCACTCAGAGAAATTCTTCAGGCAGAACCGCACCCCACTCACACCCAACTGCTCCCCGACAGCTCAGCAGCTCTTACTGCCCATTTCTTCCCGACAGAGTCAGGAGGGGAGGTATGTTCATGCATGCCCTGTGGCTGTTGGGGTACGGGGTACCTGTTTCTCGTCCTGGACTGTAAGGGGGGATGGGATAACATGCCTCTACCACAAACTGCCCACACATGGACACCTGACCCCATTCTGGCCTCTGTTCTCCACATCTGTTCCAGGAGAAATTGTCACATGTCCCCATGCCTACTGCAGGTAAACATCTAGAGAGGAAATTTTGGAGACATAAGAGCATTCCTGGAAATCAAAGCCTGGAAGGGGACATGGGACAGCTTTGTGGGGGCAGTTGAGGACAGACAAGGCTTTCTGGAGGTCACAGTGTAGACCATGGGACTAGCCCTGGACCAGGGCAGGAGCCATACTGAACCAATGGGACCTGGCGCTTTCTCATCTTTGGAGTTTATCTGGAGCAGGCTCCTCAATTTCCTGAATGCATTGTCCTTGGTGCCCTCTGGGAGGATGAAGGCCTTGGGGTCTTATCAGGGAGGGCCTTCTGAGGAGGCGCATGACCCCCAGTTCAGACAGAAAGCTCAGCCTGTAACCTGCCTGCCAGACAACTCCAGCCCCGGGGCTCTCCTTTGCCACCATCGCATTTGTCCTTTCTCATTAGCCCCTGCAGCTGGGCATGGGAGAGGCATCCAGTCCTCCCCCTAGCACACTGTTCAGAGGACACGTCACCTCCCGTCCCCACGGAAACCATGCCACTTGTCACAGTTGTTGATCACTACAGCGACAGCAGGAAGCAGCTCATGCTCTTTGGGGTGCCATTAAGAACGTGCCCTGGGTGCCGCCACCATAGGGCCCAGAGCAGACTAGTTCATGGGTTTGGGGCACGTGGCACCTGTGAAGCCTGCACCCGGAAACATTATCGGTGGGAGCACAGGAGCAGAGGCCGCAGGGTGCTCAGCCTCCCAGGGGCTTCCAAGCTGGGGTGTGGGTGGAGGCTACAGAACCCCCACTCCTTGCCTTGGGATGGTGTGGTGACTTCTGGCTGGGTCCTGTTTCCATGGCCTGGGTAGAAGCGCTACCCATGCCAGTCTGGGAAACAGTAGCCAGACGATTCCCTGTGCAGGGGGGTGGTGGTGGGGTGGTGGCAAGGCCTCCTTGCTGTGCCCACTCAAACCCACTTTTAATAACATCTTTCCCTTCCCCCTTCCTCAGAGGCACTCACCCCCAGGCCTCTCCCTGGGAATGGGAGTCATCTGGGAAGCTCCCTGGGTGAACCTGCCTCTCAGACCCCATCGTCACCTCCCACAGAGGTCATTCCACACGCTCCAGCAGGGTGGGCCTCCTCTGACTTCCCAAGGGTGGGGGCAGCTGGGCACTATTTTAAGCAATGTTGCCCCATTGTGGTGGGTCTTATCACTTTACAACTAGAGAAAGCAAGGCTAGGAAAACTCCCGGCCCCTTAGGCTCACACCCAAATTATCTAGGAGATAATCTTTCCCTCTCTATGACCTCAGACACCTGGGCCATGACAGGTGAACTTGTCCCCGGGGTCTGATTTCTTCAGGTGGAGGTGGGAACCACAAGGTAATGAGGATGGTGTTGCTGTTGCCTTGAGACCATCCAGACAAAAGTGGCAGTTCGTCTCTGGTGGTCCCTGCAGCTTGCTTCAGGAGGACCCCTCTGACTCCACCTCCCAGGCAGAGTGAGACAAGATGGCAAGGATTCAAGTTACCACAGCATGCAGGAGGGGTGATGCCCACCCTGGGATGTCCTCTACCAGCACACAGGAGGGGTGCTGTCTGCCCTGGGATGCCCTCTGGACCTTCTGCCGCATGACCTTTCATAGGGAGACATAAATAACTCTTCAGTCACTCCAGATAGGTGCAGGCATTGGCAGACCAAAGAAAGGGATCTGCCCAAGTGTAGCTTGGTGAGCCAATGAGTTGACTGGGTTACTTACACAACGATGCTTGCAGACAGTCTAAGGCAGTTATGCCATCTGGAAATCCCTCAGGAAGCTTATGGCTAACCCTGAAGGGTCCCACAGGCAGCATGGATAACTCACAGCAAGCCTAAAGATCCCCCCACTCCCACCACGGCCAGTCTCTACCTCCTCACAAGGAGGGAAGTGCCCTATGAGGCTCTCTGAGACTTCCCGCCCCAGGAGGGTGAGTCCATAGGCTGGATATCAAGAGTCTCAGGCTGAGTCATCAGAGCTCCTCAGATTCAAGATGGTGGTGGTCACATCAGTCTAAGGAGACCGATACAACATAATACCCTCTCCTTACTCTGGGCCCATGGATTAAAGTTGAAAGAGGAAACACAGTTGTTCTCTCTGGTGCTGTGCTGTCCAGGGGCACCTATGGGACCCCAGTAATGGTGTTGCTTGAACTTTTCTTGGGGCTATGAGGACAAACACCTTCTTCCCCACAATACAGGGCACCAAACAACAGATCAAAGTACAATTGCACCATTGGTTCACCAAGTCTAATTGGCTTACTTATAGAGCATGGGTAAGGGATTACGTACCCCCACCTAACAGTTGCATCATTGACCCGTCTCCCCCCAGCATAGATGACAATTCTCTCACCCTGCTCCACTCCCGAGGTAGTCACCAATATACTCTGTCACCTTCAGAGCCACCAAGACTGCATGCAGCTGGGGTAGGTCACATACAGCTGGCTTGGAGGGATAGGAAGGACTGAGATTTCTGGTGAGGAGTGGGGAACCCTCCCACTCTCCCCTTCAGTGAAGGTCAACAGTCAACAGATCCAATCTTGATGGTCACTTGTAAGCAGTCACAGCTTCTCTGATGAAGATGGTAAGGCTGTTATGCGTGGAGGAGAGAAGTCCACCACAAGTGGGCAATGACCCCAGAAGGGCAAAGGTAGAAAGGGATGCCCATGCACAGCTCCCCTAGTCCCATGTTACCACAAAAGAACGCAAGTGTCTCTGACTTAATCCCATGCTCCATAGTGCTGTATAGACAACACTAACCAGCTGAGCCTGGATACAGTCTTGGTTTGCCTGGGATGCTCCTCAGCTTCCCTCCCAGCACCCACTGCTCCTTGCAAATTGAGTCTCCTGCCTGAACCAAATGGTTAGTTTCTTGGAGACCAAGAATGGACACTCCAGCCACAACTACAGATCTGGCTCATTCTTCCTTGGACTGGCTGGGCTTGACTGGCTGCTGTGGGATCTATTTTTATATACTTGGCCTCAGACCTGCCCACCCCCGACCCCACCCCCCTGTCACATATCCTACACTTCCTCCATGTCCTGGAATGGGGGCCTGAACAATAGAGCCCCAAACTCTCTGTCTGTTGTCCAGGTTACTCAAGTACCTTTATGGACTACTGACCACCTCTACGAGGAGGGGTTTGACTCATAGGGTGTTAGGGTGCTGAGTCCCCCATGTCTAGTACCTCAGCTGCCCCCTCTGGTACAAGCTTCCCACTTCCCAGCTCTGTGTTATATGGAACATGGCTTTGCAGGCTTCTAGGGCTGGGCATAGCTTCTCCATGGCACAGCAGGATATCTATGCTTGGAGCCATGACACCCTGTCGTCAGGGTGATGCTGGTGGCTGCTCTCAGCCAGAGCTATTTCTAGCCCGAGACGCTCTGTCCTGTCCACTGAGTTGCCCTGAATGCTGACCACTCTGCCCAGAGTTCAAGATGCATACACCTGTCTGGCTAGTCTCCTGGTCAGAAAGACACCACAGCCCCCCTCAACAGGTCTAGACTTGAAAACCCCAGGCTCCTCCCTACCCCTCACTCCTGGAAAGGTCCTTCCCCCAACACCTTACTCTCTGCGAGAGTCCCTGGCCACCCCATCATAAGGTGGGAACACTGAGCGTGTCACAGGGAGAGGGACTCTGGGGGCTAGAGCTGGCTGGGGCCAGTAGCATCCCTCAGTGACTTCACAGTCTTTCCTGCTACAGAGGACACACTTGTTCCTGCCATGACAGCCCATTTATTTCAGAGAGCAACGCTCATCAGACCTACGGCGCCATCTTTCTCTAGGAGACTATAAAGAGTCCCCAACCCTGGCGCTAGTCACCTAATTTTTTCAGAGAAATGTCCCCATCAACCAGGCCAGACAGAGATGTTTGGGAAAGGGGGGCTGCATGGCCTGAGGGAGGGTGATTCAGTCACTAGGCCTCTGTCTTCACACCTCCCCCATCTGAGTCATCACAGCCGACAATGGGTGACAAACCGCTATCCCCAGAGGGGTCTCTGTGTCTGCTGGGTGCTGAGCTGGTGTGAACCGTCACCTGTGGCTAGCAGTCATGGCTGCCCTTAACTCATTCTGGGCTTTTCCTTACCCCTTCCCCTCTTTCCTGGTCATCAGAGTGGGTGGTCTAAAGGGGAGCTGGGAATGTAACTGGACTCCAGCTATTCCAAGCTACAGGATGAGGCTAGTTTACCTCAGAACACTAACTATATGCTTCCCTGAACAAGCAGTTTGGCTCAGGGGCGCTCAGCCCCTGGGAGTAGTGCGTGCTTGGGGACTGAGTGGGAATGAGGGAGTCCCGTGTGAGTTTGGTCTTGGACCACCAGAGATTGTGGGGAGACCCCCAAAAACCATTCCTACGAGGGTAGCTCAGGGGCGCAAACCTC